CTAGAACCGACCTTGGTACGTTAGTCACAAGTCCTGCCAAGAACAAATAAATTAAACAAAAATATCAATAAAAATCGTTGTCAGTTACATTTTAATGTGCTTCCCATCTCACTTATATCTATTTTTATTTAATTTTATATTTTTTACATAGAAACTTCAATACTTGAAGAAAAACAACATTCAATTGAAAAATTAGAACAATCAAAGGAGATAAGAAAAACTAATTAAAATGATTTGATTTAAAAAATAATAAAGTTATAAAAAATACATATATATTTAAAACAATATAAAAAGTAACTATAAAAATAAAAATTAATATGTATAATAAATATGTAAAATACCTCTTTGTACCTATTACTTAATAATCTCAACAACATTTTCAATATCAAAAGATGATAACAAATAATCTTTATTCATAAATATATAATATTCTAAAATTTACACTACATTTTACACGTATTATTATATCATTCTAAAGTTGATTTGAACGTATTTTCTACGTTCTGAACATTCCTTTCCACAAAATACTCCGAAGGATTTTGTTTTATAAAAAAACTATTAACCATCTACACGGGGAAAAAAATCTTTGAAGAACTATTTGATATTATAATAAAAATAAAATGGATGAAAACAGGGAAAATTTTGAAAATATGAATAAAACATAAGGAAAAATCTACATTTAAATGTAATAAAAGTTAAAACAAAATACTTTAAAGAAGTTACCGTTTAAAAGACTAAGTAATTTTTTTTTAATGTCACAGAGTTGCAAACATTGACTGACTCACTTAGTCATGTTGTGTTTACATAGGTACATATCAGACAACCTCCACAAAACATTTCCGATAAGCCAGACAAAGGGTTGATTTTCAATATCACAATCTCCACAACAGAACATGTCTCCTCCAATCACGCTAACATTAGAACTAGTCATTAAGATAATAAGATGTAAATCGTTTTATGTTAAATTTATGATTAAGATTAATTGTACACACATTCATCAAATTTTATGATTAAGATTAATTGTACACACATTCTACACATTCTACAATATCTGAACACTTCTAAACAACAGAAATAAATAACTTCTGAACCACAGAAATAACAATTCAGGCATTGTCATTCGTTTGAACAATTTTTCATAGTCAACGTGGATAACAAAATTGCCAATCAAAGTAAGAAAAAAAAGAGTAAGAAAATAATTTAATTTTGAAATTGTGACTCCAAGCTTAACACTACCTACAGTTTGGAAATTGTTTATATTTGAAATTTGAAATTCAAATAAAAAAAACTTATATCCATTCCTTAATTGAGCAATTATTTTATTTATAAGGATTCACGATATGTTAATTATTTAAATATAACGAGTAAAAGTTAAAGAAAAATTAATAGAGCATTATGTCTATTTTTTGAACGAAGTAGCCTTGAAATCCGTTTTTTTTTTTAAGTTTTTCCGATGCACATTCTTTGTCCCTATAAAGAACATTCCATTGACCAGAAAAAAAGAAGGAAACCTTACGTACAGTGAATTGATTCACGTGTAAAATTATTGTCAGTTTTTTTTTTTTCTAAAATTATTCAGATATTTTATACTTTAAAAGAAAAAAAAAATGATGTTCATAAAATCAAAAATCTGTCTGCAAAAATTTATTCAATGAATTAATTATCTATCAAATCATATTATGTGGTTCAAAAACTTTTTTTCTAATACATTTATTTATTTGTTGAGTATTACCGTTTATGTTTATTGTTATAATTTTTTTTTGTCTCTCCCACACCTAATTCCTCTTAAGTGATAAATAGAGTATCAATTTGCATCTTCATCCTCAAAGATTCTGGGACACGTTTTTACTTCCAAACAGGGCCCATCATGGATACTTGAGAAAAAACCAGAAGACCAAGACACAAAAAGACATTGATCATAATGAATGAGATTTATGGCCCTGTGTAACTCCAAGAGGGTGGTTTATCTTCTTCTTGGGAGCAAATGAAAGATGCCTGATAAACCACATCATGCATACATCACAAGAAACTAGTGATCTAGAAAGTTTTGTTGAGAAAAAAGAAATCAAAGACAAATTAATGAGGACAGTGACCCCTATTCAAGGGATGAAGAAGAACAGGAGGTGTTGAAAAATGCAGCAGATCATCTCATTGATTTTTCACAGCTTTCTTGAACCGTGTGATCGCGAAAGATCTGTTGCATGAAAGAAAGATTACAACTTAATTAACACAGTTCAAGAAAGCCGTGGAAAAACAGGAAGAAAATCATTCACAATATAGACAGCATTGTTAGAACATCACTTTCTTAGCTAGCTTTTTGCAATGAAAAAAAGAGAGGAGAGAGATTGTGTGGTTGAGGCAGATGAAGATAGATTGTGTTGTGGATGGTTTATGTATATATAAAGGGAGCTGCTATGTGAGCCATGAATGAGGGAGGAATCTGAAGAGTTTTGGTTGTTTTTTAGGTCTATCTATGGTTCAATGAATTTACTTCAACTTTTTGTGTTTGGTAGAGTCTCAAACTATCATGCTGAATTAAAAAAAAAGATACACTTAATTATTCAACCCTGTGGAAATTGCGGCCTTAGCTGGGTCTTCGTTTGAAAATTTCGAAAATTGAAATAAGTGAAAATCATTTAGTTACCTTTGAAAAGGAAAATGCATACGTAAAATAACTTATTGTTTCCTTTAAAAAAAATAAAAATTTATTGTTCTTCTCTAAGTCCTAAATATTAAATTAGTGTGAATTGTTTATAAAAACTTTTAGAAATAAAAAATATTATATTAATATAAATCTTATGTGGAACTTATACTAATTATATATATATATATATATATATATATATATATATATATTCTAATTCTTGTTAATTATTTTAAACAACTCATTAGAGATGTTGTTGTTATTCTTTGAAGAATTATTTTTCATCGACAGTGTTGAAAAAAAGTTTTAGTGTAAATTATGACGAAGCTTATTCTCATACCCTTATTTAAGGTTGAAAGGTCTCGTGTGTGAAAAAAAAATCTAAATTACTCCTATTCCTCACTGAATAAATTGGTTAAATGAATTCAAAAAATTTAAATTTATATTAATCGTAATTTATAAATTATTACTGTTGAAATAATATAATTGTTAAAATAATTTTTTAAAATGATAAATAAATATTTAAATTCTTCAAAACATACAAACATTTCTATAATTAAAAGTTATATTTTATTAAGAAGATATTCTACAGCTTATTAGATCAATATGTCGGTGTATCCATCCAAAACGGGTGAAAATTGCATTTTGTCGTCAGAGGATTGGGACTAATCGAAAACGACATTTAATTTATTACCTCAGTTTGATTTTTTTTTTTTAATATTTCATTTTTAAGGTAATCATAGTTTTAGTTTTATTAAGGTTACGATTTTTTTTTTGTTGAAATTAAAAATATCAAAAACTTTAGTTTTGCATTAATTAGAATGAACAGTGAAATATGGAAGAATACATTTTAACATAATTTTTTTATATTAAATAAAGGGACAAATGATTTTTTTGATGAAAATATTGAATATAAAAAAAATTGTAAACTTATTCGCCATCGTCTAAAAAAAGTTCATGAAATAAGTTGGATTATAGAAAAAAAAATTAAGTTATTAATTAACTAAAAAAATACCCATTAAATAATAATTAAGTTCATGAATAGTCTTGCTTCTTACTCCTTAATAAAATAGTAACCATTAAAAAAAATAAAAAAATATGTGCTTATTTATTCTTTTTTTTGTCCCATTTTGTATTTATGTTCTGTAAATAATATAATTCCGAAAAGCATTACATTACAGCCATGTCGATTATTTTTCAATTTAATTTAATTTAATAATATAAGTTAAAAATGTAATGTCATGACCGTTATTTTTCAATTTAATTTAATTTAATAATATAAGCTAAAAATAAATTAAGATAATTTTTATTGTTTATATAATTAATTATTTTAAAATTTCAATTTTTAGTTTGTATAGAATAATTTAATTTATCCTATATGCAATTTTTTTAAAATTGAATTCTTAATATTAAATTTATGAAAACAGATATAATTATAAAAAAAGTCAGATAATATTTAATATTTCAAAATAAAATTATCAACATTTTTTACATCAATATTGATATAGAGAAACAAAGGAAATAATAAAGAAATTATGAGAGAGGGGATGAAAGAAAGAGATAAAAATGAGTTATTTGTAAGAGGAAATAACATATAGAAGAAGCAGAAAGAAGAGATGAAAAAAAATTGAAGAGAAGGAAAATGGATAATGATATAGAAAAATAAAAAACTTTCCTAAACTTTCAGAATAATTTTTTGCGAGCATTTTTTTTAGCAAACAACATATTTCACGACAAAATCATTTTCAACTCTCTAAAAGAAAAATGACTTACAATTTTCCATCCAAATACCACATAAGTTAAACAACTTTTGTCAATCGGTGGATTAATCAATTTCTCATTTCATTACTTGTCAATTTATTTGTTGTGCACTTTTAGATAGATTTGCAAATATAACCATCCTAATTAATATCTTCTCAACAAAGTTACTATAAGTGCAAACCCATAAACTCTATTGGGTAATGGACAATTCAAAGAAAAGAAAATAAATTCACTACGTTCGGTTGTGAATAACGATGAAATAAGACAATATTTCATTATACATACAAGCCAAAATACAAGCTTGCCCATTTTATAATTCGAGGAAGAGCGAAGTGGAAAACCGACAGAACAATATTTAGACGCTCTTAACATTAATTAAGAACAACAAAAATATATGAAAAACTCAAGAATACAGAAAAAACAAGAATTGCGAAAGAAATGGTTATACAAAGGCACTGCATCAATTGAAAGTGCATATATATATATATATATATATATATATATATATATATATATATATATATATATATATATATATATATATATATATATATATATCTAAACATTTATCTGAAAAGATAACCTAATTTGAAGGCTAGGGGCATTGGAAGCCAGAAGGGACAGTTTTTTGACACGCACTGAGGATCGCGGTGATCGTGACAGGCACGTTCAAGTTGATTCCGAGCACATTGGCTTTAATGGCAGTGCAAAGGCAAAGTGCGGCTTCCAAATCCGCCAAGTCTTTAATCAAAGCGCAACATTCGCTGGAAGGAGGAGTTCCAACAATGATGTTCACAAGTCCTAGGATCTTAGCACAAACACCTAGCTTTAGGGTGTCTATGGGGCAGGAACCTTTGGGTGATGGAGGTGAAGGAGGAGGGCAGCTAGGCTTGGGTGAGGGCTTGGGTGAGGGTTTGGGTGTGGGTGGTGTGGGCTTTGGGGTGGGTGGTGTGGGCTTTGGGGTGGGTGGTGTGGGCTTTGGAGAGGGTTGCGGTGGTGAGGGGACCTTCGGAGAGGGTTTGGGTGTGGGAGGTGTGGGCTTCGGAGTGGGAGTGGGCTTTGGAGTGGGTGGGCAATTGGCCTGAGTGAATGATGAGTAAGAAATGAGAGAGAGGAGGAAAATGGTGGGAAGGAGTTTGTGGGAAGCCATAGAGAAAGGAAAGTGAAAAGGTGGCATGCAATGTGTAATTTTTGATTGATGTTGAATGGAAAGAGGAAGGGGCGTGGAAGTATTTAAAGAGAAATGGTAAGGTGCGTGTTAGTGAAAATCTGATCGAGTGGAAGCGAGTGAAGAGTGTGATAACGCTTCCAGTTGGATCTTTTTGTAAGCTTCTGAACGAGTGGGTCGTGGCATTTTGGTTCATTTAGATATTATCTCTCTTAATTCTTACCCTTCTTTCTCACAAATTTATGCTACCAAGGAACAGAATGTTCCTTCTAGTCAGTGAATAATTGTTTGTGGTCTCTGTTTATTTTCTTCCACACCACAAGCTCTCCTTCCGCGGGAAAGTGATAACATTTCCAAGGCTCTTCATCAGAATCGCCATACAATCACAAATTCAAATTTTCACATTGCTGACAACGCCATCTTTGGCTTCTCTTCATTGTCGAAAAAGTAAAAATAATATAAAAAAAAAGGGAAAATGGCTCCATTATTTTACATTTGAGTAGAGAACAAGATTGAAAGTGTACCTGATGAATCATTCCCTCTTCGTCTGTTCCACATGCACAACCACCGTTCGCACACATTCTCATATTTATTGTGATTATGGAATCTTCATTTTTTTTTATGCTTTTTATTATATCCTATCACCTTTTATATCTACAACTTTCTCTTCTACATTTTCTACCTGAAAGCAGAATAATATGGAGTGGTCCATCTGATATTTTTTTTCCTCCACGTAATGCAGGGCTCTATATATTTGCATGTCTCGACGTTGCTTACAGCATCTTCCTTCAAAAAGAAAAAACTTGTTCAATTAATACACACTCTCGTATACATATTTTTTATTTAATTCTCTCAAAGATTTTGTAATATGATTTCTTTTTGTTACATGAATTGTAAAATTGTTTTCGATAAATTTTCCCACAATACTCTTTCTATTATTCTATTTAAAAATGAATATATTTGCTCCCTTAAAAAGAAAAAAACAAGTCTTATATTTTTCCTACAGGGAAATTAGAAAAAACTAGTGAGAGAATTTATTTTTTAATATTTTATTTGGATTATTTCACACCTGATTGCAATCACTCAACGACTTGGACAAGTATGACACACACTCTTTTAAAAGTAAAATTATCAGTGCAAGCTTACAAGTGTATATTTTTATCTCAATATAGAGTCATTTTTATCAGAATTATTATTAGTTTCAACCTTTTAATAAGAACCATGAAGGAAAGATTTATGAAATTCCAAACACAAAAGAATAAAAGGACAAAAATTGCACAGGATACATTTCCTAGTTATTAGCAATTTCCAGCCTGTAAGTAACGACAAAAGGCAAACTATTTTTTAGAAAAATATTCCGATAAAGAAAGATATGAAGAATAAAAATGTTCATATGATATATAATAATAAAATGTGATAAAGGATATAAAAAGAGAGAGGAATTTGATAGATTATTTACAATATTTCTATGTTTAATTATAATTATTCATCAAATAATGGAACCAAAGTCACTAGAGTTGCTTAATTTAGTTTATTTATTTATTTGTTACTTGATGAATGAGATTATATATATATATATATATATATATATATATATATATATATTAAAATGTTTGCGTATCTAATTTTTTATAATTAATGTTTTTTAAATATTATTTTTTATTATACTTTAAATATATATAATTCTTTTTTTATATACTTTTATTATTTTTAAATATAATTTATATTATTTTTATTTTTCTCTTTTCAATAACACTAAAAAAATTATAAAATAAATTCATTTTATATATAATTACAAATAATTTAATATTTTATATTTATTAAATAATCTGAAACTAAGAAACACTTAGAATGAGTCGTCAATAACATACTCATAAGGTAAACATCACACGCACATGCCTGGTTGGCGTGAGTTTACACGTGGCATAATGGATAACGAAACGTGGTCACATCATCTACACCCTTCGGTCCCCCACCTTGGAAATATGATATTTTGGTGACAAAACATTAATCCATTCTTATCAAACTTTTTCGTTTTTTGTTTTTGTCTTATGATTATCTCAGGCAAGAATGTCCTGTATCATTTACATATTCTTATATGTAAAATATAAATTAAAAGGCCAAATTAGTAATAGGAGCAATTGAATTTAATATAGAGTAAATTGTTTAAATTAAAAATTTACTTCATCTTCGATGTAGATTATTATAATATTTAATAATTTAAAATAATAATTTATCATCATTATTATATTTAAAGAAAATAAATAAAAATAATACAAATTAAATTTCTAATTCTTACTCTTAAAATAAATAAATTATATATATATATATATATATATATATATATATATATATATATATATAAACATTTGCATGAATGACTCTAATATTTTTATAACTTTTTTAATTACATTCACCTCTAATATTATATTTATTCTTATAATAAATATCTCTTTTACAAATATAAGAACATATCTTCTTGTTTATTCTAAGAATAAAAACTAGATTAATGGTTTATTATTTTTAGAAACAATTTTCTATTTTTCTATTTTTGATTATTATTACAATCACTTTTTTAAATTTTATTACGACTTTTGGTGATTGTCTATGTAATTTTAAAATAATTAAAAAATCATTTATTTTCATAAATGTTTGCTCGAAAATAATTTTTATTAGATAAAAATAAATAAATAAATTATAAACATAAAAAATAGGTATGTAATTTTTATTCTTAGAAGTAATTACATCTCTCCTCAAATAATATATATATATATATATATATATATATATATAATATTTTACAAAAACTTATTTGTTATATGTATTAGTTTTAAAGAACGTCAATTTTAAAAGAAAAAGAAACTATGAAATAATAAAAAATATTTTAAAATATAAATATGTTTATATATATATATATATATATTGTCAAATTAGAATAAGAAAAACAGTAGAATTATAAATTTTATGTGGAAAACTACAAATAATTGTAAATAATAAGAGGAAAAATTATTTTAAAATTGACCTTTTAAATAATATAATTAAATGTAACCAACTTTTGATGGTGTTTGAAAAAAAGAAATTTGAAATTTAGTAAGACAATATTAAAAGAATATGAAAATTCAAAATAATTTAAATATATTAAAAGGTATAAAATAATATATGAAAATATAAAAATAAAAATATAATGTTTAAAAATAAAAAATTGAAATATGGAAATAAAATAATATTTAAATACATAATAAAGTTTAAACAAAAATAAAATAAAAATTATAAAAAATAAACAAGTTAAAAAAAATGATCATCTTCTGAAATTTAGAGTTCCATTATAAGAAATCCCCAGTTATCTGTTTCGCTTTCTCACACAGCGATTGAATATAATATTATTATGATGATAATGATGGGGATTAATCACCTTTGTTCTAAAAAGAAACACTGAACATATAAAGACAAAGAAATTGACGTAAAAGATTAAAAAAATAAGAAATTAACAGAGAAGAAAAAAAGATGCAGAACAAAATATATTTACCCTTTCTCTCAATAGCAGCATGGCTCCTCTTTCATCCTCCATAGTCAAGAAGCTCTCCTTCGTTCATGTAAAAGAATAATAATTCTAAAGTGGAATTTAGACCAAAATATATTTTTAGAAAGTCAAGCCTTTATACAGTGTATACTGGTATTGAACCAAATCTGGTTCTGTTAGGCCCTCGAGAAAAACAACAAAGGACATTCATGATCAAGTTGTCTACAGACACAGTTGAATCCTATACCAATGTAGTCTTCAGTAAAAGAGTTAATCAACAAACAAACAGCTATCTAAAACATTTTAAAAGAAAAAAAATGCATAAAACATACCACAATTTGGCTGTATAGAGTAGTCTTCTTTCATTGGGAGAGCTTTTCAAATGTTTTGAATAACATGACTTCTTCCAGGAGTCTATTTTCTCACCATATGAAGTTTAAGTGTCATCAAAGTTTCTTCTACCCCATCAGTTTAGCACAGGGAGTTGGCATAACCATGCATGAAATTTAGTGTAAATTCCAATATCAAACATATAAGTTCTCAGAAAGTTTCAGTTAAACAAAAACCAGTCTCAAATTTAGAACTTCACACGGTACTATCGAGTTATAGTGTAGGAATCAAATTATAGGTTTTTCTATCTCCAAGTGCACACTAATTCACCTATTTATCCGTAGTGTTATCATACAAGATATTCAAGTTCCTAATTATAGTAGTTCTATACATTTTATTTTCTCGATCTTTCTATATAAATTTGCATCACCTTAATCAGGTTTAAAATAATTCTATATCTCATAATAAGTTGATGTCCATTTTAATACAGAGGGGATAACTCCATTTGGGTATTCTACAATACATTTCATCCTTATAAGGTGAATGTAGAAATACAAGCCACCTGGAAAATCTAACCTATCCCTATTCTTCCCTTTGTGCATAACAGGTACAAAGGGAAAATAAGTTGCGTCTGCACCAACTTCAGGTCAGCAACTCCAAATAACCAAAATATAGTTTCCTTTTTCCTTCTGTAACCTACTCTACTCTTGAAAACCCATGGATAAAATGATTTTCCAACATTTTTGTTTTCTTATACAACTTCACTTCCTCACATATTTCAATCCATAGTCCTTCCCACAGTTCTTGCATTGAAATTTTCTCAATGAAGTCTTCCAAACCCTCGTCAGTTCATGTACAATTTTTTTCTAGATGTTAACTCATATTTATTCTAGTATCGTTATTACTCTTCTAATGGTATCTACTCATTGACTGGTTTTATGTTTTACTTATAACAAATCTCAACAGTGAAAATGAACATAAAAATCCGAAGTTCGAATACAGCAGTCCATGGAGAGTGAAAAGGATCAATGCTATTACATAATAACATGAAGAGAGAGCAACTTTTACAAGTACAGCAAGAAATTAAAACAGTGAAAGAAATCAAAGAATGGTAAAATGGACTTTCCACAGC